GTGCAGTGGCACGATCTTGGCTCATCGCAACCTCTGCCTCCCGGGCTCAAGCGTTTCTCCTGCCTCAGCTTCCCAAGTATCTGGGATTACAGGCACCCACCACCGCGCTGGTTAAATTTTGTATTTTTAGTAGAGACAGGGTTTCACTGTGTTGTCCAGGCTGGTCGCGAACTCCTGACCTCAGGTTATCTGCTCACCTCAGCCTCCCAAATGCTGGGATTACAGGCGTGAGCCACCATGCCCACACCTGGCCTGGTGTGTGTGTGCTTTTTTTTTAAGACAAAAGTTTTGCTTTTGTTGCCTAGGTTGGAGTGCAGTAGCGTGATCTCGGCTCACTGCAACCTCCGCCTCCTGGGTTCAAGAGATTCTCCTGCCTCAGCCTCCCAAGTAGCTGGGATTACAGGCGCCTGCCGCCACGCCTGGCTAATTTTTTGTATTTTTAGTGGAGATGGTGTTTCATCATGTTTGCCAGGCTGGTCTTGAACTCCTGACCTCAGGTGATCCACCCACCTTGGCCTCCCAAAGTGCTGGGATTACAGGCGTGAGCCACCGCGCTAGGCCCCGTCAGCTTCTTAAAAGGCTTCTTAAACTAACACGAGTCAATGTGGAGTGTTTGGCACGTAGTAAGCAGTTAATACATGTTAGTTTTGTTATAGTAAACTAAATAAAAGATGATGGTGACTCTCATTATGGTAATGGGAGGGAAATGTCCATATTAGAGAGACATTTGCATGATGAATATAATAGGACTGTGATTGAATATAAGGGATAAAAGGGGGTTGGGTTGCTCAGTTTCTTTCTTATCACTTATCACTTCGCGTTTCACTTTACAGGGTAGCCACATTGATGTGCTTATAGTTCACTGCAGTTACCATAGTCATCCACAATTTTTTTTTTTTTGAGACAGAGTCTTGCTCTGTTGCCTGGGCTGCAGTGCGGTGGCACAATCTCGGCTCACTGCAACCTCCACCTCCTGGGTTCAAGCAATTCTCATGCCTCAGCCTCCCAGATAGCTGGGACTACAGGTGTGCACCACCACACCAGGCTAATTTTTGTATTTTTTTTTAGTAGAGATGGGGTTTCACCATGTTGTCTAGGCTGGTCCTGAACACCTGGCCTCAAGTGATCCACCAACTTTGGCGTCCCTTAGAGCTGGGATTACAAGTGTGAGCCACCACACCTGGCCCACAGTTCTTTATACTGTCGTTTTTTTCATAAAATATCCTCTCTTCTATCTTTGTACACCTTTGCCTGGCAAACTCCTATTTTTGGAGATTAAGCTCAGGAACCAACTATTCCAGAAAGCCTTTCCTTCTCTGCCTCTCAGTCACCCTTACCCTGTCCCTGAGTTCCTAAACCATCTTTTGTTTATATGCATAAAATAGTTGTAACATACTAAGTTATAGTCAATCAATTTTCTATCAGTTTCTTTTTTTTTTCTTTTTTGAGACAGAGTCTTGCCCTGTTGGCCAGGCTGGAGTGCAGAGGTGCAATCTTGGCTCACTGCAACCTCTGCTTCCTGGGTTCAAGCAATTCCCTTGCCTCAGCCTCCCAAGTAGCTGGGACTACAGGCGTGCACCATCACGCCTGGCTAACTTTTGTATTTTTAGTAGAGATGGGGTTTCACCATGTTGGCCAGGCTGGTTGCAAACTCCTGGCCTCAAGTGATCTGTGCACCTTGGCCTCCCAAAGTGCTAGGGTTAAAGGCATGAGCCACCATGCCCGGCCTATTTCTTTAAAAAAAAAAATTGTTTTTAGAGGCAGAGCATTACTCTGTCGCTCAGGCTGGAGTGCAGTGGCACAATCGTAGCTCACTGTAACCTTGAACTTCTGAGTTCAGGTGATCTTCCCTCATCAGCCTCCTGAAAAGCTAGGACTACAGGCATGTGCCACCATGCGCAACTAATTATTTTATTTTATTTTTGTATAGATGAGGTCTTGCCATGCAGCCTAGGCTGGTCTTGAACTTCTGGCCTCAAATGATCCTCCTACCTTGCCCTCCAAGAGTGCTAGGATTACAGGCATGAACCAATATACCCGGCCAGTCTCTTCTTTTAGACTCTAGATTCCTTTAGTCATTAGGTGAGACTGATTAGGTATGCAGGAGTCATTTAATCATTTTGTAATTTATTCTAAGAGTGTTGGGCAACCATTAGAGGATTTAAGTATGGGGTAATATGATGTGACTTGAGTTTTGTAAAGATCACTTTAGCTTCTTGTTTAATAGATTGGAGAGTTTCAAGAGTAGATCTGGTTTCGTGTGAGTTCTGGAGCCTGATTTCCTGGCTCCACCATATACTGTGTAATCTAGGATTGTTTTCCTTCAATTTCCCCATCTGTAAAATAAGGATAAAATGGGAGTACTTAAGACTTGCTATGAAGATAAAGTAGGTTAAAAGAATTTAGAATAGTATATGACTGGTGCCTCACGCCTGTAATCCAGCACTTTGGGAGGCCAAGGCAGGTGGATCACCTGAGGTCAGGAGTTCGACACCAGCCTGACCAACATGGTAAAAGTCCATCTCTACTAAAAATACAAAAATTAGCCGGTGTCGCATGCCTGTAATCCCAGCTACTTTGGAGGCTGAGGCCCGAGAATCACTTGAACCCAGCAGGCGGAGGTTGCAGTGAGCCAGGATCATGCCATTGCTCGTCAGCCTGGGCAACAAGAGCGAAACTCCATCTCAAAATAAATAAATAAATAAATAAATAAATAAATAAATGAATGAATGAATGAATGAATGAATAATATCTGGCACGTAATAAGTAGTCAGGTGTTACCTTTTATATTGTTATTTAACAAATATTTGTGTGCTTATAGCATCCTAGGCACTGAACCAGATACCATTATCAAGCTGAATTGAACAAGTGAAAAAAGCACTCAAAGTAATATGGAGACAAAACTTTGGGCTCTAATAATGTCTCTAAAAATTGGAATATAGGCCAGGCCCAGTGGCTCATGCCTATATCCTGGCCCTTTGGGAGGCTGAGGTGGCAGGATTGTTTGAGTTCAGGAGTTCGTGATCAGTCCAGACAACGTAGGGAGACCGTGTCTCTACAAAAAATAAAAAATTAGCCAGGCATGGTGGCACACACCTGTGGTCCCAGCTGGTTGGGAGGCTGAGGCAGGATTGAGCCCAGGAGGTTGAGGCTGCAGTGAGCTGTGTTCATGCTACTACACCTCAGACTGGGCAACAGAGTGAGACACTATCTCAAAAAAAAAAAAAAGAACAGAATAGTTAGAATATAAAACAATTTGATTATTGACATGTTATAATTCTGGAGATGCTTTATTTGGATTTCTTTGACTTTTTTTTTATAGTAGAGGCTCCATTGTGAATTGAATGAATCAGTGGGGAACATTTTTTGAATGAATGATTGTTCAGTGTGACCCTGTCCTTTTGTTGTAACTTTCTCTGATTTACAGCTTGGTAATTTCACTTACAACTTGGTAATTTTTTTACTTTTTTTTTTTTATTTTAATTAATTTATTTTTTTTTGGTGACACAGTTTCACTCTGTCGCCCAGGCTGGAGTTCAGTGGTGCCATCTTGGCTCACTGCAACCTCTGCCTCCCGGGTTCAAGTGATTCTCATGCCTCAGCCTCCCAAGTAGCTGGGATTACAGGTGTGCACCACCATGCCTGGCTAATTTTTGTATTATTAGTAGAGATGGAGGTTTCACCATGTTGGCCAGGCTGGTCTTGAACTCCTGACCTCAAGTGATCTGCCCACCTCAGCCTCCCCAAGTGCTTGGATTACAGGCTTGAGCCACCACACCTGGCCTACAACTAGGTTATGAGAAATTAATTTTCTGAACATGCTGTACTAGTATTAAATATATTTCTATAATGAAGGACCTTTTTGTAAACTATGTCAGCTTTGTAAGTTCTGAGTTTTTGTATATCAGTTTATGATAACTTTTGTTTTTGTTTTTTTTGTTTAAAGGAGAAACAGTAATTGATGTGTAAATGACTAATACATGGGGAAGCTAGGAGATTTGCTTTATTGTGATTTAAGTGACTAATACTTTTAAAAAGACAAAATAGGCCCACAATCCCACCATCCCACCATTTTGGGAGGCTGAGGCAGGAGAATTGCTTGAGGATTTGAGTTCAAGCCCAGACTGGGCAACATAGCAAAACCCCATCTCTATCAAAAATTAGAAAAACTAGACAGGTGCGTGCTTGTAATCCCAGCTACTCAGGAGGCTGAGGCGGGGGGATCCCTTGAGCACAGGAGTTTGAGACTGCAGTGAGCTATGGTTGTGGCACTGCACTCCAGCCTGGGTGACAGAGTATATAACAAGGCTGGGCATGGTGGCTCACACTTTTAATTCCAGCACTTTGGAGACTGAGGCAGGAGGATCCCTTGAAACCAGGAGTTCAAGACCAGCATGGACAACATAGCAAGACTGTCTCTACAAAAAAATTTTTAAAAAATTAGGCATGGTGGCATGCTCCTATAGTCCCAGCTCTTGGGAGCCTTAGGTGGGAGAATCTCCTCAACCCAGGAGGTCAAGGCTACAGTGAGCCATGATCGTGCCACTGCACACTAGCCTGGGCAACAGAGTAAGACCCTGTCTCTAAGAAATAAAAATTAAAAAAATTTTTTAAAATAATTGAAATAAAAGGACAAAATAGTATACAACTATTGTGTTAAAGAATTAAAAGGATTTGTAGTTGTTTTTGCACAGGAAAATATTACTAGCAGTTAACTTTGGGCAGTGACATTGGGAGATGGAGACATGCTTTCATAACTAAATTTTATGTGGTAAGTAGCAGAGAATTAAAGAGGAAAACAATGGCAAAAGAATATAAAAATAGAAACACATGTATATATGAGGCAATTTACAAGCGTGCTTGGTTTATATGAATGAATTCAGACAATATTAGCTTGGTTCTAATATGGTCCGTGGAAACTATACTGAAATAGAATTTAAGATGTTTTGTTCAGTTCTTGTTTCGTCATTAATGTTTGTTTACTTGCTTTATATTCACAGGGATGTGCATGCAGTCTGTCTTTGGGATGATAAAGGCCCAGCAAAAATTCATCAGGCTTTAAAAGAAGATATTCTTGAGTTTATTAAGCAAGCACAGGCAGTAAGTTCTACGTACTTATTTTAGACTTGTTTTAAAACTTCTCAGATAATATCATATTTTATAATTTTGAAAGTAGAACGAAGTAATTTAAAAATATTGCATTGACTTTTGACACATTTGTTAAATAAATTTATTAAAGAAATGATCGTCATTAGTTGGATTATTTTTTTCCCACAGTGATACTTCTGTCAAGAGAGTACATATTATATTTAATTAAAAGATGCTATAGCGAATTCAATTTTTTATTTTTTTAGAAGTCCCCACCATCATTATTTTTTGGCTACACATCAGTCCACACAAATCTGTTTTTTTCCTCTCATTACTAATACCTCTTCTCAAGTTGACAGTAATTTCAATTCCAGATCCTTCTCCAGTTGTAAATTCTTTAGACGGTCCTTTGTATTGCTAGTGCTGAGGCAAAATTCAGCACTCTTGTATTGCTATTATGTATAAATGGCTAATAATATCAAAAGGAAGACAAAGCTCATTTAGGCATTAGATCAGTTATTCAAGAGTTAGTTTTTTTTTTTTTTTTGACACCTTGTAATGTTTCAAATCAGCCACAGTCTGTCTTATGAATAAATCCCTTACCTTTTTGAGGAGGACCCTAAGGACATGAGATTATTTTCCTTTCTATAACATGAGGTGTGGGGCAGGGCACAGTAGCTCAGGACTGTAATCCCAGCACTTTGGGAGGCTGAGACAGGGAAATCGCTTGAGTTGAAGAGTTTGAGACCAGCCTGGGAAACGTAGTGAGACCTCGTCTCTATACAAAATAAAAAATTACCCAAGCATGATGATGCACACCTGTGGTTGCAGCCACTCTGGAGGCTGAGGCAGGAGAATTGTGTGAACCCAGAAGGTTGAGGCTGAAAAAGAAAAAAAAAGTCTGATCTGATGGCTAGAAGTCCAGGCTAGAATTTCTTATTCTTTAGTTGGATCATTCCATTAATGTCTTGTACAACATTAGTAAAAGTTGTTTGTTAAATTGTGTTATTAAATACTAAAAGGTGCTTAGCAGTTGAAAATTAAAAATGAGTTTTTTCTATATATGACTTAAGATGCTGAAATCAAGTATATGATTGGCATATATTTTAATTTTGCTAGTAGCTACTACCATGATGGAGTAAGACTAATGTATTGGATATTACTTAAGAAATTAAGTGTTTTATTGATAATTTCTTGACATTTTTTAAATTGTAGTTTTATAGGAAGTTACCTTTTAATGAAAATAAATTCTATTTTCAAGCACTTAGAAAATTAAATGTTTCAGTATCACAATTTAAAACTATTTTCTTAGAACTAATTTAGAGATACAGTTTCTACTTGCATTGGGAAATGTACAATGTTTTCTTTTTATTACTTGATAAAGATAAATTATGTTTATTTCAGATTGATAGAGCTTTATTCTTCAGTGTCTGGAAATAAACTTATAAAGAATTACCTTAGATGTTATTAACAGATGTTAAAAAATATACTGAACACTGGCAAAAAAAAGTAGGGAAGGGTTTCACTGTAACATGACTGAATAAAGTCTGGAAATGTAGACATCAGCAAGAATCCAGGAATGGAATTTAGCACCACTGATTCTGAGCAGTTAATAGGAATAGCAATGCCAGACATGGGTCTTAAAAAGACCCATCTTAAAGAGATTTTTAAATGCTTAAGAATTTTTTTTTTTTAATTGTGAATCATTTTACTAGGTAATCTTCAATTGAACGTACCTTGTTAGGAAGGACCACATCTTCCAAATGGTTGAAAGGCAATATTCATTGAAATGTTTATAACATTTTTTAAAGAACAAAAAAAAAGAAGTAAAAATAATAAACATAGGTGGAGTCTTTTTTTTTTTTTTTTTAACCTAGATTAATACAACTATTTTATTTGTTCACAATTCTGTGGCTTAGCAATTTGGGCTGGTCTCAGCTGATTTTTCTAAGCTTATTAATGCAGCAGCAGTGAGTTGTTGGACAAGGTGGTCTAAGAAAGCATTGAAACACATACATGGTTTTTGGTGCGGCTTTCTCTTCGCTCTGTGGTTTCTCATTCTCAAGGAAACCAGCCTTTGAGATGAAAGTAGAATCTACAATACTTGTTCACGGATAGGCTGAGAAATCTCACAGTGTTACATCGGTGGTGTTCTGTTGGTCAAAGTAAATCACAGTACCAGCCCAAACTCTAATAGTGGAGAAATAGACTCCACCACCATTTTTTTTTTTTTTTTTTGAGATGGATTCTCGTTCTGTCGCCTAGCGTGATCTTGGCTCACTACAACCTCCGCCTCCCGGATTCAAGTGATTCTCCCGCCTCAGCCTCCCAAGCAGCTGAGATTACAGGTGCATGCCGCCATGTCTGGCTAATTTTTGTATTTCTAGTAGAGGCAGGATTTCACCATGTTGGTCAGGCTGGTCTCGAACTCATGACCTCATAGTCTACCTGCCTCAGCTTCCCAAAGTGCTGGGATTACAGGCATGAGCCACTGTACCTGGCATGACTCCACCACCTTTTAAAAAATTGAGATATAAATAACATACCATAAAATTTACTCTCTTAAAGGATATGATTCAGTAAGTTGTAGTATATTTCATAAAGTTGTGCAACCATCACCCGGTAATCCCAGAATATTTTCATCACCCTAAAAAGAAATCCTATACCTATGAACAGTCACTCCCTTCTCCCAACCCACTAAATCACTGATCTGTTGTCCCTATGGATATGTCTATATTTGACATTTTCTATAATTGGAATAATAATGTATGGCCTTTTGTGACTAGTTTCTTTTACAATATTTGTTTCTCTTTATGGCCGAATAGTATCTGTTGTTTGGATATACTATGTATTGTGGGTGTTTTTGGTTTCTTTTTTCATTTGTTTAGTTTTTTTTTTCTTTTTGAGACAGTATATTGTTCTGTCGCCCAGGCCAGAGTGCAGTGGCAAAATCACAGCTTGCTGTAGCCTCTGAAGCAATCCTCAACCTCCTAAGTAGCTGGGACCACAGGCACGCACCACCACACCCAGCTAATTTTTTGTTTTATTTGTGGAGATGAGGTCTTGCTGTGTTGCCCAGGTTGGTCTCAAATTCCTGAGCTCAAGCAGTCCTCCTGCCTCAGCCTCCCAAAGTGCTGGGACTACAGGTATGAGCCACCATGCCTGGCCCCTATATTGTTTATCCATATTTCAGGTAGTGGATATTTGGGTTGTTTCTACTTTTTATCTATTTTGAATAATGCCGCTATGAACATTCATATACAAGTTTTTTTTGTGAACATGTTTTAATTTCTTTTGGATATAAGAGCTTGTACAATAATTTAAAAATTATGTACAATTTGAATTTTGGCATGGATGTGTTTTGTTCTTAATTTTTCAAAGCAACTGCATTTATTTCAAATTGGTACGTCTCTTTTTTTCAGCGAGTACTGAGTCATCAAGATGATACGGCTTTGCTAAAAGCATATATTGTTGAATGGAGAAAGTTCTTTACACAATGTGATATTTTACCAAAACCTTTTTGTCAACTAGAGATTACTTTAATGGGTAAACAGGGCAGCAATAAAAAATCAAATGTGGAAGACAGTATTGTTCGAAAGGTAAGACTGTTTTTCTCATTGTTTTCCTAATATTCTTCAGAAAGAGGGTGATTTGGAAGCATTTGAAAGTAATTTAAACTTTTAAGTGGGTTTTTCTACTTCACATGTAAATTGCTTTTCAGCTCTTCTTAGATTTTATTGAATAATACTCTTATTTATGTCTTTAGCTTCAATCTTCTTTCATCTTTTTATGTGGTCTTAAGCTATAGATCTGTGTCTTCAACCATTATCTCCTTTACTTTTCCTTTTAACTTTCTCCTTTTCCTGGTATAATCTTCAGTATTTTATGTCTCTATTCTTTCTTTATACTCTTTTTTTTTTTTTTTTTTTTTCTTTTTTTTTTTTTTTTTTTTTAAAGGAACTGGAGCATCACTCTGTCGCCTAGGCTGGAGTGTGCAGTGGCACAATCTCTGCTCATTGCAGCCTCCACCTCCTGGGTTCAAGCAGTTCTCCTGCCTCAACCTCATGAGTAGCTGGGACTACAGGCATGTGCCACCACACCCGGCTATTTTTTGTATTTTTAGTAGAGACCTGGTTTCACCATGTTGGCCAGGCTGGTCTTGAACTCCTGCTTTCAGGTGATCCGCCTGTCTCGGCCTCCGAAACTGTTGGAATTACAGGCATGAGCCACCACACCCAGCCTATACCCTTACTAGAAATTAAATTACTTTTCTCCTCTCTCAAAAATCTCCTTTTATTAGGTTACCTTCTGATATCTTTATATTTAATTGTGGCTAAACTGCTATCTTTATAATTTCCCTTTTACTTAATTCTTCTATTATAAATTCAGTGTGTACTGTGCCTATTTTCTATTCAAAATTTGTGTCAAGTAACCAGTCATGATTTAATGGAAAGAACTCAGTGCTGAATATGAAGGGTCCTAGGTTTCCCTTTCAACTCTTCAAACTCTGTCCTCATTTTCCATGTATCTCTCCACTTGTAAGAATCAAATGGAACCATAGATTTGAAAAGTAAAAAATGCCATTTGAACTTTAGTCAATTTGCTGTTTGCTGTGATGGTTATAGTAACACACTCCGGCATTACAATAGTGTAACCTGGGCATTGTTGCACCATCCCAGCCTTAAAATTTGCTCTGATGTTGACAGGGATTCTGTAAATTTAGATACCCAGTGGTTCTTCAGTGTTAGAAATCACTGCAATGTGGGAAAGTAGTGCCGAGAAAAAAATAAAAGTGAAAAACACTTCTGGCTGCTATTTAATTTGTAGTCTCATAATCTTATCCTCTTTTTTTGGCCATTCTCTGTCGGTTGTGGGAAGTTTTGACATTCTCTATTGGTTGTGGGAAGCAACATCCACTTACTGATTAAGTGTATCAATTCTGGGACCACAGTTTTTGGATTCACATCTCAGTGTTGCCACTGATGAGATGCATAAATGTGGAAAGTTAGCTTTGCTATCTGTACCCCAGGTTTCACATATCTAAAGGGGGGATAATCATGGTACCTATATCAAGATTATGAGGATTAAATGAGTTATATGCGGACAATACATAGAGCAGTCCCAGGTGCAGAATGAGTGTTAGAAAACTGTTAACTCTTGTTGTTATTGTTGCTGTTATTAATGTATCTCCTACATCTGGCCAAGTTTCTTGGAGTACTGATATAATCACCAATGTTTAGATACCATTTTTATCATTTAATGGAACATCTAAACAGTAGATTTGCATACTCTTTTATAAGGTCCAGTATCAGATTTTCAGTCGGTCCTTTTTGCATTTTTTATGTGTCTTTACAAACATGTGCATATGTCTATTTCAAACCACCAGTATATCTGAAATTCAACCATGGAACTACAGGAGAATAAACATTTTCCATATATTATCATAGTTAATTTTTACAACCACTGAAATTTGCACTATTATTTTGACCATTTTACACATAAGAAAGCAGATAAATAAGTAACAGCTGGGATTGAATTCCAGTTATGTTGGATTCTGAAACATTTGTTCTTTATTTACTTTTGTTTTGTTTGAAATGGGGTCTTGCTGTGTTGCCCAGGCTAGAGTGGAATGGTGTGTTCTGGGCTTGCTGCAGCCTTGCCCTCTTGGACTTAAGTGATCCTCCCACCTCAGCCTCCCAAGTAGCTGGGAGTACAAGCTCATGCCAGCATGCCTAGCAAATTTTTGTATTTTTTATTGTCGTTGAGATGGGTCTTACTGTGTTGCCAAGGCTGCTCTCAAACTCCTGGCCTCAAGTGATCATCCCACGTTGGCCTCCCAAGGTTTTGGGATTAGACCACACTTAGTCGACCCTTGTTTACCATTATGCTAAATATACTGCTTCCCTGAAGTATTTGAGTGAATGCAACCTAAGTTATTTTGAGACAGGGTCTTACTCTGTCACCCAGGCTGGAGTGCAGTGGCATGGTCTCGGCTCATTGGGACTACAGGTGTGTACCACCACGAGTGGCTATTTTTTTTTTTTTTTTTTTTTTTTTTTTTGTATTTTTTTTATAGAGACAGGAGTTTGTCCTGTTGCCCAGGCTGGTCTCGAACTCATGGACTCCAGCAATCCACCTGCCTTGGCCTCCCAAATTGGTGGGACTACAGGCATGAGCCACTGCACCTGGCCCAGGCCTACGAATTTGATTTCCTTTTTTAGTGTTTGTACATGATACTTTGTATATTAATAATTGAAAATTATGTTACAATTTGTTCTTGTTTTCCTAGCTTATGCTTGATACATGGAATGAGTCAATCTTTTCAAATATAAAAAACAGACTCCAAGATAGTGCAATGAAGCTGGTACATGCTGAAAGATTGGGAGAAGCTTTCGATTCTCAGCTGGTTATTGGAGTAAGAGAATCGTATGGTATGTTCTGAACTTTTATGATCATAATTTCTGTTTCATGGAAATTGTAGAACAATTACGGAATAGCACAAAGTTGTGTTTATTAGCATACAAAGTTACATCTACTTTTTGTACTAGATTTTTTTTAAGAGTACACAAATGATATTAATTCTGCTTAAAAGTGTATAAAAATTCATATTAATGTGGTTAATATTTTCTTCATGCCATTAATTTCTTGGCAAGTCTTTTTAGTGAAGTAAATTAGATATATAAATTTGAATGTATAGCTTATAAAAGGTAACTAGTTCATTAAAAGGTTAGGTATTCATGTTTCAGAAAGCAGGTTACTTCCATGAAAGGTAATGAAAAGGAGAGCATGTAGGAGCACATTCCCTCTGACTTCTAATCTGTTTCCTGTTACTTAGAGTATGCCTCTTCCCCACGCTTCATCCTCCTCCTGGAGGCCTTTCTTCATTCCCAGACAAAGTTAAGTTCTGTCATTTAGTGCTTCACAGTACCTGTGCCTCCTTGGCATAGTACTTTTGTTTAATTGTGTTGTTAGCACTGTGTCTTTAGTGAACATAGAATGCATGGCACAAAATCACTCTAGATAAGTATTTATTGAGTTAATGAACCTATAGAGTTATTTTTGACTGTCTTTTCTTCATTGCGCCATAATCCTTTAGTTATCAAGCCTTTAGATTTTCATTAGCAGTGCTCCTGAAATTTATTTGTTTTTATTTGACTGCCACCAGACATTAAACTTTACATGCAGAGTTTTGAAACAGTCCTCTTATAATGATCTTATTGCTGTTGTTTAACCCATATGCTGTTCATAAATGTTTAAGCACTATTTTATTGGTATTTTTTCTACTTACCCCTTAAGTGCTACACCATGCTTTTTTTTTTTTTTTAAAGAGATGGGGTTTTGCTCTGTTGCCCAAGCTGGAGTACAGTGACGTGATCATGGCTCATTGAACCTCCACCTCTCAGGGCTCAAACAGTCCTCCTATCTCAGCCTCCTGAGTAGCTGGGACTGTAGGCATGTACCCCACACCTGGCTAATGTTTTTCTTTTTTTTTTTTTTCTTTTTTTGAGACAATCTCACTCTGTCACCCAGGTTGAAGTGCAGTGACATGCTCTCAGCTCACTGCAACCTCCACTTCCCGGGTCCAAGCAGTTTTCATACCTCAGCCTCCAGAATAGCTGAGATTACAGGTGTGTGCCATCATGCCCAGCTACTTTTTGTATTTTTAGTAGAGACGGGGTTTCACCATAGTGGCCAGGCTGGTCTTAAACTCCTGACCTCAAGTAGTCTGCCCATCATGGCCTCCCATAGTGCTGGGATTACAAGTGTGAGCCTTTGTGCACGGCCTTAATTTTTCTGTAGACTCATGATTTTACTATGTTGCCCAGGACATCTTCACAACCATTTGTAATTTACCATTCTACCTTACCTTCTATTAACCTTGCAATCCACTTAGACAACCTAGTCATATTTTCTTGTGCTTTTCTGCTTCTGAATATTTACTTACCTTACTAATCTCCATTTATGCAAATTCTAGTTGATTCTTTAAGATTCAGTTTAAATCCCATTGCTTCTGTGAATGTTTTCTTGATTATTCAGTTAGAAGTCAGTCTCTTACCTATTCAAAAATAAAATAGTCTCTATTTGTATTATTTATTTGTTACTTTACTGCTTTGTGCTGTCATCATCATCTTATGGAGAAGGATTTTGTCTTATATAATTATATGTTCTCTTGAGCATTATTACCTTGCACATAGTGAGTCCTCGATATTTATTTCATTTATTATACTCAAAATATTGATTTTAATCATAATTGGAGTAATACTTTATTTTCTGTTTTTCAGTTAACCTTTGTTCTAATCCTGAAGATAAGCTTCAAATTTATAGGGACAATTTTGAGAAGGCATACTTGGATTCAACAGAGAGATTTTATAGAACACAAGCACCCTCGTATTTACAACAAAATGGTGTACAGAATTATATGAAATATGTAAGTTAGAACTTAGCATATGTGATAATTTGAGCAATTCTCTTGATATTCTTAAAATGATTGCTATTTTGCTTCTGGACAGGCAGATGCTAAATTAAAAGAAGAAGAAAAACGAGCACTACGTTATTTAGAAACAAGACGAGAATGTAACTCTGTTGAAGCAGTAAGTAATGTTGTAATTGTACATTTTGTGGGATTATTTGAAATACAGAAGCATAGGAATGGCCAATAAACAACACAAATAACGTTATTTAACAGCCAACATTGTTAATTGATTTTAGTTCTTTTTGCCTTTGAACCATAGCACAGCTTCATAGAAGGTATCTTATTCAGAACACGTTATCCTTTGGAGCTGGTATGCAAGATCAAATCTATTTGCCATACCTGTTCTAGAGGTTATTTAATATAATTAACTTTTGGTAGGTTTTCTTTTATTATGTTTTATGGATATCTAAAGTTAACCATTTTTGTGATTTTCATGTTGCAAGTAATATATGCTCCCTTAGAGATACAATTGACTCTCTTTTTTTGTGCCAGTTATGTTCTCTGAAGTGGCTGCAAACACGAAATTAGTGAATAATGAATCATTTATTCCTAGGGGATATTTCTTCTCCTTTTGGGAAGATGTTTCAAACTTCATTTGTCATGAGGTAAAATATTAATTATTATTATTTTTAGAAACAAAGTCTTGCTCTGTTGCCCAGGCTGGAGTGCAGTGGTACAGTTATACCTCACTGTAACTCCTGGGCATAAGGGCCCCACCTGCCTCAGCCTCCTAAGTAGCTGGGACTACAGGCATACGTCACCATGCCTGACTAATATATATATATATGTATACACACACATATATATATGTGTGTGTGTGTGTATATATATACTTTATCTTTTTTTTTGAGACAAGGGCTCTCTCTGTCTCTGTTGCCCAGGCTGGAGTGCAGTGGTACAATCTTGGCTCACTGCAACCTCTGCCTTTCAGGGTCAAGCAGTCCTCCTGCCTCAGCCTCTCGAGTGCTGGGACTATGAGCGCGTGCCACCATGCCTAATTTTTTTATTTTTAGTAGAGATGGGGTTTCACCATGCTGCCCAGGCTGGTCTTGAACTCCTAAGCTCAGGTGATCCACCCGCCTTGGCCTCCCAGAGTGTTGGAATTACAGGCGTGAGCGACTGCGCCCGGCCACCTGGCTAATGTGTTTTTCTTTTTTTTTTTTTTTTTCATCGAGAGCAGGTCTTGCTATGTAGCCCAGGCTGGTTTTGAACTCCTGGCCTCAAGAAATCCTTCCTCCTCAGCCTCCCAAAATGCTGGGATTATGGGCATGAGCCACCATACCTGGCCTCAAAATATTAATAATTTGATGAAAGCATCAGCTTTTTATATTGTTTTATTTACTTTATGTTGTATGATAAAATGCATATTTTAAAAAACAAAAAACTGGTCAGTGATAGTACCATGGTAGGTGTTTTCTTTTACATGGAGGACTGACCTTAGGGTGCTTTAGTATAAGTAAAGTTAGAATCTAGTTGGGACAGTCTTGGAATTGTTGAAACACAACAATAGTATTTCCTCTGGTTCCTTTCAGTCTTTGGAGCCTAGGAACTTGATTTAGATTTGCATTCTCAGGAATAACATTCTAGCTTGCCCATAATCAAATATTTTTCAACTACGAATGGGATTCAAAATTTTTTTTTACTTTTGACTTTTCTTTGGCTTTGTCCATCTTAAGTGGTAGTTGTGTTTATTTTATTCTTTGTTCAGAAATCATGCTGAGCTGGATGTCTTTTCCCTTTGGTTCTTTTAGTTTTTGTTTTGCTTGTCCTTGATTTGCAGTATGCATCCTCTTTGAGCGGTTGAAATAGTTTTGATATTGGCAAAAGGAAGGATAATTTAGTGGTTATTTATAGAAGTTCTTTATAGATATGTAAATCCAGGCTTGGGCTACATTCAGAAGGCCAGGAAGGCTATTGACTTTTTTTTGAAAACAGGTGGGCCACAGAGTTGTCCCTTAGGAAGATTAATCTGGTGACAGGAAAGATGGAAGACTGGAATGGGGAAGAGCTGGGAATAAGAAGTAGAAAGCGTTTGCGGTAATTCAGGCAAGGTATTAGGCAGACCAAGTAGAGTTACAGTAGTGGGAATGGAAAAGACAAGGAGAGAGAGAAACTTCTTAGAGGTGGAACGTTGTTCACATGGATGGGGCTACATATCACAGATAATCAAGCCAATAATGTTTCTGAGGTTTCAGCCATGGAGAGCTGTGCTGCTACTGAGAGATTAGGTATAAAAATAAGTCTTAGTGAGGTAGAAAGGATGAGTTCATCTTGGAGGATTTGGGTATTTGTTGTAGATTGATGTACCTGTAGCACCTGGATGGGGATGTTAGAGTTTTATAAGGTGAAATTGTTCTGATCTCCTACTGCAATTTATATAAGTTGGTTATATCATAGCCACATTAAACTTATGAATTTTCAACTATAAAGGGCCAACTAAAAGAATGAGTCCAGAGTAGCTGGGACTACAGGTGCATGCCACTACGACTGGCTAATTTTTTATTTTTTGAGATTGCATCTCACTGTGTTGCTAAGGCTTCTTTTAAACTCCTGGACTCGAGCAGTTCTCCCACCTCAACCTCCCAGAGTGCTGGGATTACAGGCACGAGCCACGGCACTTGGCAGTAATGGTCAAAAGTTTGAAATGAAATAGGATATTTGCATAGTTTCAAAGTATCTTCCCCAAGATATTTACTAAAGGAGAAGCCTGAAGATGCCATCTTAATTAAGTGATCAAGGTGAGCATCACCAGTAGTAGGACATGCTGATATACCCCGTGATATGATGCACTAAGAAGAATACAATATTATTTCTGTTTTATTCTTGCCAAAAATGTATAATCTTACTGTAATAATGAGGAAAGATTAAACAATTCCAAATTGATAGATAGCCTACAAAATGGCTAATATTCTTTAAGGTGTCAAGACTGTAACAGACTGAAGGATAAAGGAACTGCCACAGATTGGATGAGAGTAGGAGAAATAACTAAATGCAACATGGGCTTGTGGATAGGATCCTGGAATAGAAGGACATTAGTGGAAAAACTGGTGAAATGAATAAGAGCTAGATTTAAATTGATAGTATTGCACCAATACTATTTTCCTGGTTTTGATAGTGGTACTATAGTTATGTAAGATGTTAATGTTGGGAGAAGTGAGGTGCTATTTTTCTGCTAACTTTTCTGTAATCATCAATCAAAGAAGTTGAAAAAGAATATTGGCTGGGCGCAGTGGCTCACGCCAGTAATCCCAGCACTCTGGGAGGCCGAGGCGGGCACATCACCTGGTCAGGAGTTCAAGACCAGCCTGATCAATATGGTGAAACCCTGTCTCTATTAAAAATATAAAAATTAGCCGGGCGTGGTGGCATGCACCTGTAATCCCAGCTACTCAGGAGGCTGAGGCAGGAGAATCTCTTGAACCTGGGAGGCAGAGGTTGCAGTGAGCCGAGATTGCGCCACCGTACTCCAGCCTAGGTGACAGAGCAAGACTCTGTCTCAAAAATAAAGAATATTATGAAGAGTGCCTTTTTTTTTTTTGAAACATAGCCTTGATGTGTCACCCAGGCTACAGTGCAGAGGCGTAATCTCTGCTCACTGCAACCTCTGCCTCCCGGGTTCATGTGATTCTCATGCCTTAGCCTCCTGAGTAGCTGGGACTACAGGTGCTCACCACCACGCCCGGCTAATTTTTTGTATTTTTAGTAGAGACAAGGTTTCATCATGTTAGCCAGAATGGTCTTGATCTCCTGACTTCGTGATCCACCCACCTCTGCCTCCCAAAGTGCTGGGATTACAGGTGTGAACCACCACACCCGGCCAAAAGTGATTTTTTTTTTTTTTTTTTTAATGAAGTAAGAGTAATGCTATAGAGTGTATTGGTGGTGGTAATGCTTCTGCTGCTGCTTTTACTTTATGGAATATGGTCAGAAAAGGTCTCTTTGAGGGAATGATATTGGAGTTAAGACCTGAGTGATAGGGAACTAGCCTTGTGAAGATCTGAGACAAAAGCATTTCAGGCCGAAGGAAGAGCAAGTGTAAAAGCTTTGAAGGGGGAAGGAGCTTAACATATTTTAGGAACAGAAAAAGATTAGTGTGGCTAGAGCATCACAGGTGAGGGATGGAGAGTGATGCAAGATAAGGATAGACAAGAAAGCAGAGTTCAGTGCAATCAGAAGCCAATCAAAGATTTTAAGCAGAGAGCTTATTCGATTTCCATATTACAAAATAGCATTTGGTCTGCAGTATGGTATTTAACAATCTAGATGAGAGGTATTGGTGGCAGTAGAGATGGATATATAAGAAGATGGATTCAAAGTATATTTGGGAGGTATATCTAATAGGTTGTTCCTGTTTTACAAATGAGGAAACAAATTCAGAAATGTACAGAAGGTTGCCTTCACACAGATAGGAAATTGTGAAGCTGGGTTTCAATTTAAGTCTAATCTAGATCCTGAGTTCTTAAAGATACTATTAAGCACTTTAGAATATATAAAGAAGAGACATACAGTTTGGTAAATTATTTGGGTATATGTATTGCACATATATGTATATAATTAGCACTCTTGGTTGCAAGGGACAAAACCCATCTCAAAAAAAACAGGTGGATCTATGGGTTCATGTAAAATTCCTCATGGACAATGCTAGGGTAAGACTAAAGGGAAGTAAATGTGGATTCAGAAACTCGTGACTCTGCGAGAACTTTCTAGGTATGTGATGTGATACCATAAATATGATATATTTGGAGAAATTTTTCTTCTGATCTGCTTTATTATCATTTAGAGTTGATAGGCATTTGCTTGAAGTGGAGACCATGAGAGCTGCCAGCTTATCCTTCCAGTTTGTGACCTAAGAGGTGATAAGTGTCTTCCTCCACTGGTTTTATTAAGACCCTTCTTTAATTGGTCCAGCTTGGATCAGGGGCCCAAACTTGGATCAACTGCTGTGTGTTTCTTTGCACATGTGTGTAAGCATGTTTAAGTGCCAAAATACATGTATTTGTAGTATGCATAATATAGTAGTACTCATCCAGAGGACAGCCGTTTCAGAAATTTTAACTATTTGCAATTCAGGGGAGAAATCTAGAAAGTAAATTAGGCTGTGCATGGGGGCTCACGCCT